TTTACTTTATTATTTACATCTTACGTAGGAACTTTGGTTTCCTTTCTTGCCTCTTAAAATCTAAAACTTTTATAATTTCTCAGCCCATAAACAAAAGGACCATACAAAAACAAAAGATTAGGAATAACAATAAAGATCTTTATACAACAGAACAAAAATCATTCATTAAATTATTTTTAAGTGAAAATCTAACCTTCACAGGGACTTAAATCCCCACCAAACCCAAAACTTTATTCTGGGAAAAAAAACCTAAACTTACCTCAATGGAACTAACGCACAGCTATAATAACCAAACAATATGTCTGTAACCACCAACAATAAAACCAGTTGGCTATGGGACACATCCTGAGGATCGATGAACCTCGGGCGGGCCTTCCTCGGGTGACAGTGTCTAGTGATAAGTGGCCGAAACACTCGATGAACCTGGAGTCCACTACTGATGATGTGTCCTAAAATTATAGAATTTATTAATTTATTTAAAAATGATTAATTAAAAATATTGATAAAACTTGTCCAAAATTCTCAAAACTTTCTAAGACTACTAAGAGGAATAAACAAAAACACCCCCAAAACGTTTTTCTGACCTTCTGTCAACCATGCAAAACTACAACAAACACAAACCAAACAAAAGAGAAAAACAGAAACCCAAATCCTCCCAAACCAACAACAGGACACAGACCAGGACGACGCAACCAGAACAGGGAACGAATCAACCACGAAATTAAAAAGACGAAACCCAAAACGTGTACCCAGAAAGGAACCACGACTTTATCCAAGAACACAAACCAAAACCAACCGAAAAAACCAGAAACTAAAACCTGTTCGGACAGAACAATAACACAGACCAGGATTACAAAACCACAAATGGTAACTAATTAACCACGAAATAAAGAAGACAAAACCCTAACATATACCCAAAAGGAACCACGACTTTATCCAAAAACACAAACCAAAACCAACTGAAGAAAACAGAAACTAAAACTGGTTCGGGCAGAACATTATGACACCAGCCAGGACAACATAATAACAATCGATTAATCAAACTACTGAGGAAAACAAAGACCAAAACCAGACCAACTCTGAAGGTGAAAGCCCAGCTTTCTGAGACAGACTTCCATAAAACCCAACTCTACACCCAAACCCTGAACCCTCGGACCAGAGAATGTTACCAAGACGGCGACGGCCTCTCGCCAGGACGTCCTCTCTTGTACTTTTGTACTCCAGCCCAGACCAGGGAATGCAACCAGGGGAACAATGGCCTCTTGCTTTACAAGTCTTCCCTTCACCAATTCCAAAACCTAACCCTAACCAACAAAAACATGTCAGAAATCTAACGCCCAAGTGGTTTACAAGATGACACTAACCTACAACACGGTGAACGGAGAGCTTTGACGACGTGCGACGGCCAGTGCATCGCCTTTGCTTCCTACCCCAAACTGCTTTGTCGTCGGACACGGCAGGGGAAGCTATCGAGACAGATTTGAAAAACCTAACCCCTAATCCTAATCCTAATCCTAACCCTAACCCTAACCCTAATCCAGAAGCAAAACTAGACTGGCTTTATGAGTTCACAAGTATAAATGTTAAGGTTACAACCTTACAGTGATAAATATGGTGTGAAGTATTTTAAATATCAAGGATTAAACCCCCACAAAAATTACGCAAAATGCAACTATAGTAATAACTATAATAACCATCAAGGCTAAGACCACACAGTGTTAGTAATTGTGAAGATTAGAAATGAAGTTATAAACTTTCAAAAATATACATGAAAATATTGCAAATGCAAGGTTTCTCTAGATTCTGTTTGAGCAAGCTTTGTATTATTTTTTATTTACAGTAAGATGTTCCCCGTCTCTCACACTGGGTACACAGAGTTGTTTCAATACACTTGTAAAAAAAGGAAAAAAAAACATGTTTATCATGGCAGTCTTGAGTTTGCAATGTCTCCGATAACACATGCATCTTTGTTCCAAAAAACAATCGTGTAGTTTGGTTTCTTTGCAAATTTATTATAAGTCCTCTGGAAATATGACAAAATACGCTGGTTCAAAAAGTCAAAGAAGCTCAGGACAGATCTGAAAAAGCAAATCATTAATTTGTCAGTCAACAAGTCAGTCAGTCACTTGTAGCCATTATAACAGCTACAGATCCCAAAATCATCTGTGCAAACAATCATTTGTATAAAGTGCATGGTACAGTGGTGTGACTGCCACTGCAGGAAGAAAACACACCTCCTACTGAGAGACTACTGGTCAAGATGGTCAAGAGTGAAGCAAGAATAAGCAAAAAGCATGAAAGCCGTGAAAGAAGGAAGCCCTTCCTCTAGAAACAGCACCTCAAGACTCTACTGAAGTTTGCTGGTGATCGATAGGTCAAAGAAAAGGCTTTATGGAGGAAATTTCTGTCTTCAGATGAAACAAAAATGAAGTATTTGGCCATAATGACCAGAGATATGTTTGGAGAAGTGACGAGACGAGGCCTCTAACCCCAAGACCACCAAACCTATTGTGAAGCATGGTGGTGGCAGCATCATGGGGCTGCTTTACTGCCAGTGGACCTGCTGCTTTACACAAAGTAAATAGAGAAGGAAGAAGGAGGATTACTTCCACATACTTCAGGAAAACCTAAAATGATCAACCAGAAGGCCGGTTGATGCAGTTAGATGTTCCAACAAGACAGTGACCCCAAACATTGTTGCTTCTTGACAAAAGCCACTGAGAAATGAATGCATATATATTTAATTTTTGTTGTGTTTCATCTCTATCTCTGTGGTATTGATGCATGAATTCTAGATAACCACCAGCAGATGTCAGTGCAGTCACGTCCCTGCTGGCCGGATATGCACTGAGTAGAAACACTGGCTGCACTGAATGCTGGCAGATATGGGATGTTTCCATAGAATCTCCTTTATGAAATGTCCAGTATGCATGCTTCAGTGTGAATACATCTAAAACTTTAACCTACTTGACTGTCGAGTAAAACAGCATCACACAGCATGAAACTACATTCAAGTCTTTTAAACTGCAAGAAATATAATAAATTAAAAAAGGATACAGACAAGTTGGATAAAGTGCACACATTGAATTAATGTACACAAAAAAATCACACAAGACTAAAAACAAATGTGACCAAACTGAATGAAGAAATCTGCACATTGATTCACTCAGTGGCTGTTTCATGTGCATTTATACAGTTCTATGAATCCAGTGCACAACATGCTTAAAAGAACAAAAACACTGGAGCTCATGAGGACATGTCTGCTTCTGCTGAAATAAGAAAATCAGCAACATTACTTATTATGTTCAATTTGTACGTTTTTTCTTTTTTAAATAAAAAAATCAATCAACCAATCATGTGCATTAGTACAAAGTGTGTGTGTGTGTGTGTGTGTGTGTGTGTGTGTGTGTGTGTGTGTCAGAAACAGCGCCAGAAGTGCAAACTTGCGGTGCCGCTGCCTTCAGCCCTGCCCTGCGTCTCCATCACTGTGGGGAGGGAGGACTTGTGTTCACATGCACTCGCAGCGCGCTCCCACTCACTCGAACAGAGGGTGCGATACATAATTCAGTCCCAGCAAGGGGACACCTCAGTCTCCCATCCTGTCCAGCCCGAGGAGCCGCAGCCTCCGCTCAACCCGCGGGCCGAGACGCCGCCGCGGCAGCTTCCAGCTCCGGATCGGATGGATGTGAGCCTCGGACGAGGGCGAACGCTGTGTTTGTTGCAGGTAATGCAGGACTTCCAGCAGCCGAGGAAGGACGGGGCAGAGCGAGGCTCAGACACCGATCCACAGCAGACGTAAACATTGCCATGCCCTGCTTCCTGCAGCAGCTCCTGCGCTCCTCCGCTCCCGCACGCTGCGCGCTGCTGTAGAGGACACGCAGGACGAGAACACGGAGCTGCTGTCGAAGGAGAACGTTTTGTGGTGAAGTTGTGTTCGGGATAGGAGGCTGCTGCTGCGGGCCGCGCTCCGCTCCCTGACTCCGCTGTGTCCGTGTTTTGCGGCCATGCTGCGGGCAGCATCCTCAGACCTGTTCCCGACTTGAGCTTCACTGTCTGGAAGAACAAGTTCCCATCAGCAGAGAGCTCCTTCACAGCATTTTGCTCTGTTTATTTTGTTCTCTGGGAGCACTCAGTCTTCTGTGTAACTGTGAGATAATGATCCTTTTTCTTGAGCAGTCTGGACTTTAGTTGCTGCCTCAGACTGAGCGGCTTCACAAAGAGCCGATCAGCTGCTGACACGTTCATGAGCAGACGGTCCAGAACATTAACCAGACCTGCCCCGGTGGGACCAGCCTTGTTATTGTCACAGTTCACTTTAAGGCTTCACCATGGGTGCCAAGCAGACCAAAGGCCAGGAGCCTGCGGGGGCCAGTCCTCAGCACAGCTGGAAGCGGACCCCCACCAAGGAGCGAGGGGACATCTTGGCCTCTCTCATGCTGAAGTCCGGGGACCGGCTGAGTCGTGGCGGGACGCCGCCGCCCTACCAGCGCCGGATCGGCATGATCCAGGAGATGATGCTGATGGCCAAGCAGGGCAAACAGGACGAGGCCACAGAGATGCTGAAGACGCTCCGACAGGTAGCTGCTCAGTGTGTTAGTGTGAGTGAATGCTGCAGGAGTCACAACAGCCTGATCACTGCTCGGTTCTTTCTGTTTTACTTCACTATGCTTTTCTTCCATGCTGTTTGTCCTTGAGTTGATGTCAGTACTGTTGTCATAAAGAGAGGCCAGGCTCAGACTGACTGAACTGATTTAGTGATCGACTGCCTACATGCCTGATGAGCTGACCTCCTCCCTGCCTGTGAACAGCTGATTTGTTCAGCCTGGCTCTGCTACACTGGTACAGTGTGGAGACTGCAGCCTCTCCCTGTGTTTCAAGACATTTGCATCACTTTTCTGCTACAGAAAGAGGAAAAGACTGGAAGGAGCTGCTGTGGTGCGAAACAAAAGGGAAGCAGGAGAATGAAAATGCCACCAGTTGAATGGGTAGATTTGGAAAGCAGCACAGAACGGAGGATCAGAGCATAATAGGAGTGAAAATATGAAAAGTCAATCTCAGTATGTGTTTCTTATTGTGATAAGAAGGAATGAAGATGTGCTGAAGAAAATAGGAAGGGAAGGTTTCTAATCCCTCCTCCATGCAGACAGCAGTGCACAGCATCCATACGCTGCCAGTGTTGGGTGTTTATCCTCCGGTGACTCAACCACAGGAAGCAGCACCTCAGGCTCACACTCATAGGGCTTAGTTTATTGTTTGGGGATTTCCATCAGCTCCTTTCTGGTCCTATTTACCGATTGATTCCATTTGCATTGTTAATCCTCGAATCAATGGCCAACAGCGGGGAAAAAACAAACTTTAAGACAAAGGCCGCCTCTCCACACACACCGTTAAGGGATTAGCTCCTCTGTCGATGCTCCATGAAGCCATGACAACACAGTTCAAGTGCTTCTGTGACTTCCAGGCAAAAGGTTGAAAATGGTCTAGACATGGTTAAAAAAACAGAGATTTTAAAAGTTTTGGTTTTACATAGCACTGAAAAGTTTGGTCACACTTCTCTCTCTCTCTCTTTTTTTTAAACCATATTTTGAGTTGAATGTCTGGGTTTGAATTTTGGGAAAATGAGGCAAATGTCAGACTTTGTATCGTGGAGCAGACGAGTTGCCATGTGAGTAGCATTGTTAGTATTTCAGTATACTTAAAGAGCCCGTGTGTTTCAGATTTACAAGTTTAGCATTTTATTTTTTGGATCTACTAAATTATGTTTACAACCTTTAATGTTAAAAAGCACATTATTTTTCACATTGCTTCAGCACCTCCTTGTGAAACACTCAGGTTCAGCTCCTCCTCTTTAACACCTGAACAGCCCTGTGTGCTGTGATTGGCCAGCTGGTCCGACCAAAGTAAAGAAGTAGAGATCCACTGGCAACTGCTCATTTTTCGTTTGTTTACCAAATTAGCCACCCTGCAGCCATTGTAGCTGTGCAGATATTTCACATGCTGACATAGATCAGTAACGAAAGAGAAGCCTGGACTTTAAATGAGGTGTTTCAGTCTATAGGAGCTTCATGTGGAAGAGATGAACTTCCTTTGGAGAGGACTGCAGACCTTTTACACATGATCACACTAAAAGAATGGAAAAAATCCAAAATCTGAAATGCAAGCTCTTTAAAATACAGTGGTGACTGGATGATCGACCCGTAACAATCCAAAACCTGCTATCTGACAGGTTCTTAGGAGAAACCAACAGAACCCATAAAAACAGCCTTAACATAGCGACAGCCTTGGATTGTGACTCCGACATGACATTTAATGTCACCAATCAGGATGACGGCGTATTATCTGACTGAACAATCCCACAGATTGGCTACGTTCACACTGCAGGACTTGATGCTCAATGAGGATTTCTTTGTGACTTCCTTCACGTTTCCAGTTCAATGCGACTTGTATGTGATCTGCTGTGTGAACTTCATACGAGCCAAAAGTGTCCCGCATGCGCAGAAGAGGACACGACGACGTCACACGCAGCGAGCGTGCTCAGTGTTTATGGAAGTAAACATGGATGGTAACGGTGGAGCGTATCTGCCACTCCCCCGCCGCCACCGATGGAGGAAACAGAAGTGTGAGCGCTAACTAAACTAGCATCAGCAGCCAAGTACTGCCTGTGTGTTCTGGACACTTCCACCCCGTCAGAGCGCTGCCCCGGGGTGGAAGTGACCCCCGACCGGGACGGATGTTCTGATATTCATCATTAATTGGATCTGTGTTGTTCAGACTGTCATGAAAACATCAGATCCAGGTCGCATAGGGGCAAAAAAATCGGATTTGGGTCACTTCAGCTGCTGTCTCAACGTATTTACCTTTGATATCAACCGACGGCCCGTACACCGGCGCACCGGTTAATTAGACATGAAGTCCAGCGATGCGTCGTGTTCTAACAACACACTAGTTATTATAACAACTATAAACAATAAATATTACCAACTAATGAGCCTTCCAGCATCAAGCCCTCCTCGTATCTGGACCTCCGTCTGGACAATCCCACAGCCTTGATATCCGACATAGAAGAAGGTTTTACATCTAGTGTCGGGTTATCGAGTCACAACTGCATCTATATTTCATGTTGAAACAGATTCTAACACTGGAAGATAGTCATTACTTGCAGTCTAAACAATGTAGACATTAATAATTTTTAGACTTAATTTAGCCTTGCTATAAAAGCAAGTGTATTTCTCAAAATGTTCAACTTATCCTATAGAAGATCAGGGAAATCAGTGTGTAATTATTTAGCACAAAGTACAATTACACAGAACATATAGTACATCTCTATATTCAAAAGCATACTTATAAAAAGGCTAAATTTCAGTGAGATATTATCCATCCATCCATCTTCTCCCGCTTATCCGGAGTCGGGTCGCGGAGGCAGCAGCCTGAGCAAAGCCGCCCAGACTTCCCGATCCGCACACACCTCCCCCAGCTCTTCCAGGGGGGACCCCTAGGCGTTCCCAGGCCAGCTGGGAGACATAGTCCCTCCAGCGTGTCCTGGGTCTTCCCCAAGGCCTCCTCCCGGTGGGACGCGCCCGGAACACCTCCCCAGGGAGGCGTCCAGGAGGCATCCGGAAAAGATGCCCGAGCCACCTCAGCTGGCTCCTTTCGACGTGGAGGAGCAGCGGCTCTACTCCGAGCTCCTCCCGCGTGACTGAGCTCCTCACCCTATCTCTAAGGGAGCGCCCGGCCACCCTGCGGAGGAAACTCATTTCGGCCGCTTGTATCCGCCATCTCGTTCTTTTGGTCATTACCCAGATCTCATGACCATAGGTGAGGGTTGGGACGTAGACTGACCGGTAAATCGAGAGCTTTGCTGCCTTGCTCAGCTCTCTCTTCACCACGACGGTCCGGTACAACGACCGCAGTACTGCAGACGCTGCACCGATCCATCTGTTAGTTTAATTCTAAGCAATACATTTTTTGTCAGCGGATAGACCGACGCGCTGGTGAATATATACGTGATTAGGTCAGCCTAATGGAGATCAATGATGCAGCGAGCACATGGACATTCCAGGTGGTGGATTTCTGTGTTTATTTTCTGTCAAACTTGAAAACTAATATTATAAATGATTCATGTGATGAGCTCTTCCAATCACTCCGATATACTCTGTTTCATGTGACTCCTTGTTTTCCTTAATCTCTATGTTGAAGTCATAGTAGCTTCATTTGTGGTAAAAACTGGAGTTATCCACTAATACATACCCCTAATACACAGACAATCAGTAATTGTGGACATGTTCTCATAGAAACATTGTTCATGTTGGTGCTTTTCCACAGTCAACTTCAGGAACTTTAACTTCCCAAGAGCTTTCATAAGGTTCAGTATTCCTCCAGTGACTTGTGTTTCCACAGCGAGGCCAAAGTCTCTGGAAGATTAAGCAAATAAGTTTGCTAACATAGCAAAAGCGCAACTGTCTCAAATTCTTTTAAATTCCCTCTGAATGTCTGAATGTGGCCTCTGGTCGGTCCATTGGTCCTTTCATTGACTTATCCCTAAAAATCCATCTCTGTGTATCAAAGATGAATATTTAATGGCGTAGTACCCTGCTGCTTCCTCTAGAATGATCTATGAAGACCTTTCCACTCTGTCCACTCACCCCTCGTCACTAGCTGCACCTCGAGCACTCCAGCTCACCTAGCACTGTAAAACTACTCTGACATGCACGCTGAAATGGAAACAGACTAAATTGTGAATTGTGTTTTTGAGACTGGCATTGGCACACTGCAGCTACAAAACAGTGCAACGCTTTCACGTACAGAGATAAAAACACGATCAATCCAGTGGTTCAGTCCAGGCAAAACAAAAGAAGCACCACAGAAACAACAAAAAAGGCATCTACTGACTTTGTGATAACACTTCAACCACTGAAAGAGACCAGTCTGCCTGTCCTTCAGCTCTGCAGGACCTGAAATGAGCGCCAGTAGCAAACTTATACTTATACCGCCTGCATCCAGTGAGTCTAACTACAAGATCTCAACAAGAAGTTTCCTGTGGAAAGTTCTTTTGTCAAATCATGTCCTCTTCACTGAATGAGCGATGTTATTTTATCAGCACATGGAGCAGATTTTACAGATGTCACAACGAGCTTCTGCACTTTAATAGCACTGCTACGTCACAGGAAGCTTGTTGAGAGAGAGCAGCTTAAATGGACTGCTTTAAGTACTTCTCCTTATTGAACATAATTTTAAGACATTGATCATTAGACTGCTAACAGCCACTCTGCAGTGGACCTCCATGAGGCATCATACAGCTGCTGGGAGGTTTGTGGTAAACTCTAAAGCTTCTATCAGCGCTTCGTTCTTACTTGTCCTGTCATTATGCAAACGTCATGGTGGACATCAGAGCATTCATCTTTCATATGATGAAACTGGCTTGGCTGTACTGTCAGCAGTAAAGACATGGCGTGGCTCTGATCCAGCGGGTGACGGGTTGAGGTCAGGAGCCCTCTGACCTCTGAAGTATTTTTCCTTGCTGCTGTTTGTTTGCAGAGCTGAGGATTAATGGAAAGGAAGCAACCACCAGCACAACACA